ATAGGTAAGGGTTAACACCCCTCTGGTGTTTGTTTTTCTGACTGTCTCTGTTCAGAAGATTTTACCTTACGTTCTGCCCCAGCAATAACTAGATTTTGAAAATTTTGCTTTTTGTGGGAACAAGGATTGGTGAGAAAGCTTCAATTGAGACACTTTTCCCCATGATAACTCTTTCAGGAGTGAATTTCCTTTACTAGGGGTAGATTTCTCACCTCCTGTTGTCTCACCCCTGTTTGTAACTATGAGTCATTTGTAAGATGGATGCTTGTAACTCAGGGACTACCTGTATATACATTACTGCACTCAGAAAACACAAGCTATGCTTTCAGTCACACACCGCTGCCTGAATCCTATTGGCTATTCCCAGCAAGTGTAGACCCAGTAAATCAACTGTTAAATAGTGAGTGGAGACATAAGCAAACCATATTAATTTAATGGGTTTGTTCTTCAAGGGATTAAAAATAAGATTCAGACCTATGTCTGTAAAATTTCAACAACTACCTTTTAACACCATGTAGTGCTTCTTATATTTATATGCTATGGCTCTGATACCGCAAATTATTAGATTTGATTTTTTTATTAGCACCATGTTCATACATCTTGGTGAGATATATTCTAAAGGAGGTGTTCAATAGATTGCATTTGCAAAAAGGTTACATGGATGCATAAGAATTTCATGCATGTAAATATTTTCTAGAGGCTTTTTAATACAATTAATTCCAACATCTATTTGCCAGTTCTAATATAAAATCACTATACAAAGCAGAGGTTCTTTTCCTCTGCTGGTAATTAAAATAATGGTCCATTTGTAATAATATTGAATGCTTAAAACAGGCATTTTCTGTAGTTCTCGTGGTCTCTTATATCAGGACACATAGATCTCCTTTATTTTGCTCCTGCATTTTTCGTAATAAAATGATACATGATATTTCATCACATAATCTTAGTCAAGCATTCTCCTGCATCCATAATGAGTACTGCAGGGAATCCCCTTCCTTCTTTATTTTTAGGTTGCCAAACGATTTTGGAAATTTTAACTTCTTAAAGTCACTCCTTTCAAATACTGAAGAACAGTTCAGAAAAAGACAGTACTATAGCCTGAACCAAATAAATGATTAATTCATCACTGTTAAGAATGAATTATAAATACATAATACATAAACAGAAAGCAGTACATTATTTCCCTCTACATTAAAAGAAAAAATACACCAACAATGAACATGTTTCCAGAGAAACAATGATTTCTTGAAACTGAAGTATTATACTAATACAAGAAATGTCACACCAGTGAAGAAAGGCCATATTATTTTAGGCTGAGATGAACAGCAAAAAATACCAGCTGCAAGCATGGATGCATCTCCAGAAGGAGGAAAGATTACAGAGATAGATAGAAAGGTAGATAGATAAGCAAGCAGAGAGTTCACTGTATATAAATCTGAATGTATTCAATGGGGCATTCTTAATCAAGGCTATGCATAACTGAAGGCTTCAGCAAGCTGAACATCATTCACATGCAAGTATGCACTGGACTGCAGCCTGTATGTATCTCACTCTGGTCTCACTCCTGTCACGCACCTCAAAATGCACACTTTGATGCATACTCACAAGGTCAGAATCATATATGTCTGCCAGTGAAAAGATTAAAACACATATATATCTCACCATTTCTTTATAATGAATGCTCCCCTCCTTAACAACATCTTAAATAAATAAAAATGCAATCTATTATTATTACTATTATTACTACTACTACTACTATTGAAATTAACCTTTAAACAATAATCACACAAAAAGGATAAGCTCCCAAGGAGACGCTGTTAGAAATAATCATGGATTAGGGTTTGTGGTTTTTATTTCTACAGGAGCAGCTTAAATCTCTCTCCCAAGCGGAGAGTGGGAGGGCTAGAGTGCAGAAAGAAGAGAGAGCAGCTAACCTGCATATGCCCCCTCCCCAAAGGAAAGAAAAAAAGGGGGGGGGGGGAAGGATGGAGACAGAGAAGACATAAGCTTTTCCTATCTTTACCAAAGGGAAATTCAGTGGCCCCTTATATCCACTGGGATTTGGTGAGGGTGTTCTGGTAGATTACCAAAATCTGTGGATGCTCAAGTCTCATCATGCGACAATACAAATATATTCATAGCCCATCAAATATGTATTTAGACAAGTATGTTTTAAAATAGATATTTAGTATTAAGTTAGGTCTAAATGTAGCATCTTTGCCTGTCAAATTGGAATATAGCTGAAAATGCATGTACATCTCTTCACAATGAGTGTAGTATATGTGTAGTATCTTTTAAAATGCATGTGAACCTCCATCCCAAACGTCAAATGGAGCTGTTTGGCAGCAGTACAGATTGGCTTGGAGATTCCATGGACTCTCCTTCTTTGGAGACATTTAAACAGGGGGTTGGGTGGATCTGCCAGGAGTGCTTTAGTTGTGTGTTTCTGCACAGCAGAATGGGGTAGGACTAGATGTCCCCATGTGGTCTCTCCCAACTATAAGATGTCACATGAAGCATGGTAAAATAGTGTCCCTTATCTAAAATGTTTAACTGCTGGAGCTTAAGAAAAAAAAGGAAATTTCAAGTAGTGAATGGTGGAATCCATGGGTACAGGACCCATGGATACAAAGGTATCTCTAGCAGCTCTGTCAGCATGAGGAAAAAGCTCCTGCAGGATGTCCCTGGCCCATCCAGGAAGGCAGGAAGGAAGGGAAAGAAGTAAGAGAAACAGCGCTTGATGAGATGGTGTGCACCATTTCATTATTTCATAGAATCACAGAGCTGGACGGGACCACTGAGGCCATCCAGTCCAACCCCATTCTGCCATGCAGGAAGACACAATCAAAGCACTCCTGACCATCCATCCAGCCTCTGCTTAAAAACCTCCAGAGGAGGAGACATCACCAGACTCCCAGGCTGCATATTCCCCTGTCAAATAGCTCTTATTGTCAGGAACCTCTTCCTGATGTTTAGGCAGAATCTCTTTTCCTGCCATTTGAATCCATTGCTCCATTGTAGCCTATTTTCCAGAGCAGGAAAAAAAAAAAAACCAAGCTGGTCCCTCCCTCAATGTGATGTCCTTTCACATAGAGACATGGCTATCATGCCTTCTTCTCTCCAAGATAAAAACACATATATTTTTTTATTCATTCATATATCAGTTTTGTACTCTCCCCTCCCTTCTGTCTGGGCACCTTAATAGGTGCTTAATCATATATAATATATCCTATTATGATCCTATTACATATGTTTATGTATGTATGTATATGCATATTATGTGTGTCTGTATATGTGTGTATGTGTAATAGAATCATAATATGATAAATTATATATTTGTAATAAGATCATAATAGAATAAATTATATATATATATAGAGAGAGAGAGGGGGGATCATTATAGGATACATTATATATATGTGTGTGTAGTAGGATCATAATAGGATAAATTATATATATAGATGCAATAAGATCATAATAGAATTATATATATATATAGGATACATCATATATGTGTGTGTAATAGGATCATAACAGTTATATATATATATATATATATATATATATATATATATATATATATATATATAAGGATACATTATATATGTATGTGTGTAATAGGATCATAATAGGACAAATTATATATTTATATGTAATAGGATCATAATAGAATAATAGAATAAATTATATGTGTGTAATAGGATCATAATTGGATACATTATAGATACATAATCATAATAGAATAGCAATAATAAATAAAAATAAATAAAAATAATAGAATTATATATATATATATATAGGATCATAAAGGATACATTATATATCTACGTGTGCAATAGGATCATAACTGGATACATTACAGATAATCATAATAGAATACATTATATATATATATATAGGATCATAATAGGATACATGATATATGTATGTGTGTAATAGGATCATAACTGGATACATTACAGATAATCATAATAGAATAAATTATATATATAGGCTCATAATAGAAAATTATATATATATATATATAGAGAGAGAGAGAGAGAGAGAGGATCATAATAGGATACATTATATATGTAATAGGATCATAATTGGATACATTACAGATAATCATAATAGAATAAATTATATATATATATATAGAGGATCATAATAGGATACATTATATATTTATTAGTAATAGGATCATAATAGAATAAATTATATATAGGATCATAATAGGATACATTATATATTTATTAGTAATAGGATCATAATAGGATAAATTATATATAGGATCATAATAGGATACATTATATATTTATTAGTAATAGGATCATAATAGGATAAATTATATATATATATATATATATATATATATGCAATAGGCTCATAACAGGATACATTATATATGTATGTGTGTAATAGGATCATAATAGGATTATATATATATATATATATATATATATATAATAGGCTCATAACAGGATACATTATATATTTATATGTAATAGGATCATAGATAGATAGATAGATAGATAGAGGATCATAATAGGATAAATTATAGATAGATAGATAGATAGATAGATAGATAGATAGAGGATCATAATAGGGTAAACTATAGATAGATAGATAGATAGATAGATAGATAGATAGATAGATGGCTAGATGATCATAATAGGATAAATTATGCATACATACATATATATATAGTATACTATAGAACTATATATATCAGGATCAGGATCTGTCCAGAAGGAAAGACAGTGGCTGCATCTACACTGTAGAATTAACGCACTTTGACACCATTCTTGCCTGCAAAGGCTCAATGCTGTGGAATCGTGGGAGATGTAGTTTCACAAGGTCTGCCAAAAAAAAAAAACCGGTTGGTGCCTCCACCAAAATGGGAATCCCAAGATCCCGGCGGTGGGTATCAGATCACATTAATTCGGCTTCCTAAATGCGGAATCACCACAGCAATCCTGGCTCCCGAAGGCCCCCTCCCTCCCCCTCCCTCCGCTCACCGGCATCATCTCCGCGTCGTGCGTCAGTCAGTCAGTGAGTCCAGTCCAGCCAGGCCGCCGTTTGTTCTGAGGGGGAAAAAACAAGCGGAGGCGGACGAGGCCCGGCCTCGCTGTCGCTGCCCTTCTGGCTGCCTCCCGCGGAAGAGTATGGCTGCCAGGCTCCGAGGTGCGGCGGTTGGGAATGCCGAAGCGCAGCCGAACAAGGCCGCCTCCGCCTTCTCCTCCTCCTCCTCGTCCTCTTTTCTCCTCAGAGTCTCTCCTCAGCGCTGGTCCACAAGGGGTTAAACGGAAGCGGCTTCCTATTGGCTGAGGCAGGACACGGGGGAGGGGAAAGGGGCGGGGCTCCGCGGCCAGCACTTGGAATGCGAAGGCCGCGAAAGGAGCAGGGAATGGACGCCGCACAATGCGCATGCGCGCGCCTCTCTGCTGGGCTCGACTCCCTTCTCGTGGACGCTGTGCGTTGCGCATGCGCGTGCCTCCTCCTCCTGTTTTGTACTGCGCAGTGCGCATGCGCACACAAACTACAAACAGGTTGTGTTAGGTATAACCACGAAAACATTGGGTTGTTGTAGGTTTTTCAGGGTTATATGGCCATGTTCTAGAGGCATTTTCTCCTGACGTTTCGCCTGCATCTATGGCAAGCATCCTCAGAGGTAGTGAGGTCTGTTGGAACTAGGAAAATGGGTTTATATATCTGTGGAATGACCAGGGTGGGACAAAGGACTCTTGTCTGCTGGAGCTAGGTGTGAATGTTTCAACTGACCATCTTAACTAGCACTTGATGGCTTGGCAGTGCCTGGGGGAATCTTTTGTTGAGAAGTGATTAGATGTGCATGATTGTTTACTCTCTGTATTGTCGAAGGCTTTCATGGCCAGAATCACTGGGTTGTTGTAGGTTTTTCCAGGCTATATGGCCATGTTCTGGAGGCAGTTTTTCTCCTGACGTTTCGCCTGCATCTATGGCAAGCATCCTCAGAGGTATGAGGTCTGTTGGAAGTAGGAAAATGGGTTTAATTTGCCATGGAAAAAGAAAATGAAGGAAGACTGCCTTTTCTAAATGTCCTAGTCATCCGTAAACCAGATCAACAATTGGGTCACACCGTCTACAGAAAACGCACACACACAGATAGATATCTACATAAAAACTCCAACCATCACCCAAGTAAAAAAAGAAGCACCATTAAAGCCTTGGCAGACCGTGCAAAAAGAATCTGCGAACCCCACCTCCTCCAAGATGAACTGAACCACCTCAACTGGGCTCTCCAGGCCAATGGATACTCCACCTCAGACATCAGAAGAGCTGCAAGACAACCGAGAACAAGCCACGAGAGTCAAGACGAAGATCTACCCAGAGGAAAAGTGTTCCTGCCATACATCAAGGGAACCACTGACCGCATTGGGAAGCTGATGAGGAAACACAACATACAAACAATCTACAGACCCACAAGAAAATCCAACAAATGCTACGTTCAGCAAAGGACAAGAGGGATCCTCTCACTTCTGCAGGAGTCTACCGTATACCATGCAGCTGTGGACAAGTCTACATAGGGACCACCAAACGCAGCATTGCCCAAACACTAATCAAGGAACATGGAAGGCACTGCAGACTACTTCAACCAGAGAAGTCAGCCATAGCAGAGCACCTGATGAACCAGCCTGGACACAACATATTATTTGAGAACAGAGAAATGCTGGACCACTCCAACAACCACCATGTCAGGCAACACAGAGATGCCATTGAAATCCACAAGCATGTGGACAATTTCAACAGAAAGGAGGAAACCATGAAAATGAACAAAATCTGGCTACCAGTATTTTAAAAACTCTAAAATTACAACAGCAAAACAAACAATGACATCTAGTCACCTCTAAACAAAAGTTTGCTCCAGGCATTGTCAGGCCATTATATGCTAATCAAGGAAGTCCTCTCTCCTGAGGAATCTGTACAAGGACCAAGGAGCAACAGTCAGAACTGACCATGGAACAACAGACTGGTTCAAGATTGGGAAAGGCGTACGGCAAGGCTGCATACTCTCACCCAACCTTTTTAACTTGTATGCAGAACACATCATGCGATGTGCGGGGCTGGATGAATGCCCTAGGGCTGAGAGTGGCGGTTAATAAGTGCAAGTAATAAATAAATAATAAATAAATAAATGCAAAGCTGGGGTGAAAATTGCTGGAAGAAACATTAACAACCTCAGATATGCAGATGACACCACTCTGATGGCCGAAAGCGAGGAGGAGCTGAGGAGCCTTCTAATCAAGGTGAAAGAAGAAAGCGCAAAAGCTGGGTTGCAGCTAAACATCAAAAACCCAAGATTATGGCAACAAGAATGATTGACAACTGGGAAATAGAGGGAGAAACCATGGAGGCCGTGACAGACTTTGTATTTCTAGGTCGCAAAGATTACTGCAGATGCAGACTGTGGCCAGGAAATCAGAAGACGCTTACTTCTTGGGAGGAGAGCAATGTCCAGTCTCGATAAAATAGTAAAGAGTAGACATCACACTGGCAACAAAGATCCGCCTAGTCAAAGCCATGGTATTCCCTGTAGTAACCTACGGATGTGAGAGCTGGGCCATAAGGAAGACTGAGCGAAGGAAGAGAGATGCTTTTGAACTGTGGTGTTGGAGGAAATTCTGAGAGTGCCTTGGACCGCAAGAAGGTGAGAGGACTTTGGTTTTCTCGATGTTCAGTGACAGGCCAAGCTTCGTGTATGCTTCTGCAAAGGTGTTTAGAGTGGCTTGTAGATCTTCTTCTGAATGTGCACAGACGACATTGTCATCAGCATACTGGAGTTCTATAACATGTTGTTGTAACCTTGGTTTTGGCTTTCAGTCTGCAGAGGTTGAATAGCTTGCCATCTGTCCGATAGATGATTTCCACTCCGGTGGGAAGCTTCCCATCAACAAGGTGAAGTATCATAGCGATGAAGATGGAGAATAAAGTTGGGGCAATAACACATCCCTGTTTGACACCGATTCCACCTTAAATGGGTCACTTTGGGAGCCATTGCTGTCCAAGACTGTTGCCATCATGTCATCATGGAGGAGCCGCAGGATGTTCACAAATTTGCTTGGGCACCCGATTTTTTGGAGGATGGTCCAGAGAGCGCTGTGGTTCACTGTGTCGAATGCCTTTGCAAGGTCGATGAATGCCATGTACAGAGGTTGGTTTTGTTCCCTTTGCATTTTTCTTGGAGCTGTCGTGCAGTGAAAATCATGTCCACTGTTCCTCTGGAAGGGCGGAAGCCGTTCTGGGATTCTGGGAGGGTGTCTTCTGAGAGGGGCAGAAGGCGGTTTGCAAGGATCGACAATAACATCGACAATAACACAATAACATTTAAAAACCAATGGCTGAAACATCGACAATAACACAATAACATTTAAAAACCAATGGCTGGGCCAAATGTAATAGTTAAAATTTAAAAATAATGCTGGACAAGACCAGGTGAAATATAACTAGGATAGAATTTCGGAAAAGAATGGGGCATACAGACAGTTCTAGATCACTAATAAGGTGCAATTAGGGACATATTGCTGGGAGTTTCCTTATTCTGGGAAGGCACACTGGAACAACCACGTTTTCAAGCTCCTCCTAAAAATTGCCAAAGTTGGGGCATGCCTCAGAGTCGCGGGGCCACCACCGAGAAGACCCTCTCCCTCGTCTCCACCAATCGCGCCTGCCATGGAGGTGGGAGTGCGAGTAGGGCCTCTCCAGGTTCGTACACAGAAATGTGGTCACGCAGATTCACAGCTCCTCCACATACACATTGGAATTGTTTCTCCTTCTCACAGCCACCTGATTTATGGGCACCCTGCACACCTGAACAGACGTAAAACCTGATTCCATATAATTATGTGAAAGGTGCATCAAATACAATGTGGACATAAATCTCTATTTTGTACACATGTAGGGTTTAATCTCCTATGCTAATAAATCTCATTGAGATAAGTGAGGCTGATTCTGAATACGTATGGTGCACCTAAGTACTTCCTCCATAGTTTTTCATTCATATTCTTTCTCCCTCTTCACCCCTGCACTGCCCTGCCTCCTGAGAAATCAAAAGCTTGTCTCTCTTTCTGTTGAGGTTTCCTTCTTCCGTTGGATTTGTCTTGTTTATTTTTCATAGACATTGATCTTGGCAGTGGATGGTATCAAAAGAAGAACACAGGAAACTGCCTGTGGAGTAATAAACCCAGACTGGCAACATTCAAACATTGCAGAGGTGTCTCCATAGTTCTCAGACACATTGCTTAAGCCTTAATTTTGTTGTTTTCTAAGGTCTTGCATTGCATGCAGTGTGTGATTATTCCTCCAGAGAAATAACCCATGCTTCAGGCTATTACAAAGTATATAAAAATAAACCAAATGACCACTTGAAGGAGAGACATATAGACGTCCGGATCAAATCCCAGATCTCATATTCCTATAGGTCCTATTATACTTATTGACCACATTCTTCCAAGGCTGAGATACAGATGTGGTTTCTTCAACCTCCAATCAATACATTCAGTTGCGTAACTCGGCTGCTCATTACTGTTGATTTATTAAGACAGGAGAACACTGAAATCATGCCCCCTCTTTGCCCAGGGAGATAATGGGTTAAAGAGTCTATTTGCCTGTTTTTCCAACTCCAATAGGAACAAATCAGCAGGGAGGTTCTTGTTTGGCTGAAAATATTATTGGCCATTGCTCAGTTAAAGCATGGTTCCCATTAAACATTAGCTCCCAACGTCAATACAGAAAGGAATGCAAAAACATTGTCATTTGAACTTGTGTGTATTCAACAGCAGGTTGTTGCTGTCAGTGTTCACTTCCCCACCCTGCTGAAATCACTCCCAACCTGAAAGGGTGCCCCTGATAACACAGCATAGATTATCTACAGCCAAGCCCAGGAAGGACAGCTGTATCATAAAATGCAGTCAATGCCTCTCCCTCTCCCCACCTTCCCATCATTGCTGTGTGATTTATACATTAAGGATTTATACCATGGTCCATACTCTGGTCACATCGAGAATAGACTACTGCAACGCACTCTACATGGGGTTGTTATTGAAGACTGTTTGGCAGCTTCAAGTAGTCAAACGGGCAGCAGCCAGATTTCTCACTGGAGCGGGGTACAGGGAACACAAAATTCTTCTGTTACGTCAGCTCTACTGGCTGCCAATCGCTACCGAGCACAATTCAAAGTGTTGGCTTTAGCCTATAAAGC